AGCCCAGTATTTCTCAATTGGGCGGAGCTCTGGCGTGTTGGGAGGGTTCTTGTCCTTGGGAACCACCTGCACGTTGTTGGCGGCGTACCACTCCATGGCCTTTTTACCGTAATGGCAAGATGCCAAATCCGGCCAAAACAGTACGGAACAACCGTGTTTCTTCAGGAAAGGCAGCAGACGTTTATTCAAACACTCTTTCACGTAAATTTCTTGGTTGACAGTCCCGGAAGCTATGAAAATGCTGCTTTTCAAGCCACAGGTACAGATGGCTTGCCAAACCAGATATTTCTTTGCGAACTTTGACAGTTTCATGTGCTTGAAAACATCTGCTACCTTTCCCCTTCCTTTTGCCGTATAAAACTCCTGTCCCGGAAGCTGCTTGTAGTCGGCTTTGACGTAGGTTTCGTCGTCCATTACCACGCAGTCAAACTTCGTCAGCATCGTCGTGTACAGCCTCCGGGATCGCGCTTTGGCCGTCGTATTTTGTTTATCATCGCGATTTGGAGTCACTACCTTCTTGTAAGTCGATAGTCCGGCTCGTTTTTTGGCTCGATGCACGGTTGTAGACGATACACCCAGCTTATTTGCGGCATCTCGGAGAGAGAGGTTAGGGTTTCGCTTGAAACTACCGGCAACTCTCTTTGTCGTCTCAGCGGCTTCCGGTTTTCAATTTCCCCCCGATCCAGACTTCCTGGCTGTCGACAAACGTTCCCCAAACACTTTAATTACATTTGTAACGGTTGATTTGGCAACTTTTAGCGATTTTGCCAACTTTGCGTGCGAGTAGCTCGGATTTTCGCGATGCGCGAGCAAAATTTTGATACGCTGCTCTTCTTGCTTGGACGGCATTTTGACAACTGACGAGTGAATTCCAAAATCAAAATAGGAGCAACATTCTACACACACACACCTTCAAAATGAGGGGTGTTCAGGTTTTTTAAATGCAAAATTGAAAGAAATACGTCAAGTTGATATTGACCAAATTTTGACCGTATCACCCTTTAGTGAGTAAAATTTCTAAAATGGGAGACAGGTCAATTTAGTCAAATACAGTTAGCAATTCTAATTCATGTTTATGATTAAATTGACATAGAGAGTAATTTAAAATTCCAAAAATTATTTTCTCAGAGGCATTACTTCAGATTGGAAACAGCTCTCGCCGTAATGTCTCAAAGAAAACCATTTTTGAAATTTTTATTTTCTCACTAGGTCACTTTCCCCTTAAACCTAGTGTACAGATCGAAGCTAAACGAAATTTGTAGCACGTAAAAAATCATGAAATTTCCCTTTTATCGCAGTTTATAGTTCTAGACCAACAATTGAAATAGGCGGAACAACCAAACGTAAACAATGGCTTTAAACGCAAATTTCTCGAGAATCAAAACACATTCACATAATCTAATACCAGCATCTGAAAGAGAAAACTTCCTTTATCGAATGGCATTGTTAGTTTGTGTGGGTCTGTTTTGATTCTCGAGAAATTTGTGTTTAAAGCCATTGTTTACGTTTGGTTGTTCCGTCTATTTCAAATGTTAGTCTACACGGAGATGAAAAACTACCCAAACTTAAGTACTTTTCCCTCAATTCCGGGGTTCAGCCCAATAACCCAAATTTGAGTAAATCGCATATAGTAGTTTCCATTTAACACCAGCAAAAAAAAATACCTACTCTTAAGTATATTCTACCCAAAATTAAGTTTTATTCACGGAAATTTGAGAATTGCAATTTACGCAAAAGTAACTTATTGGGCTGAACTATGTATATCGTTCGATCGCTTTCGCTGGATCGTATCTGTTTAAGCCTAGTATACCAGGCCAGTGACAAGGCATATACCAACAGCAGCGTTTGACAGTAGGCAGCATGTCCCGGGCTCAAATCGTTTATTTTGCTGTGATGGGCCCGCTGTCACGGTATAACTATAGTCGCTATATTCATAGTCTGGCGGATAGAATTTCGATCTATCCAAAAGTGGAACCAATTCAATATATTGTAGACCAACAATTGAAAAGGTACTATCAACTTTTATGAACAAAACGTTGATTATTCTTTCCTCGCCAATCGAAGGTAAATTACCAGCATCATCGGAAAGGGGAAACTTTCCACACCCTAAAGATGGTGTTAGTTTGTGTTGGCGAGTCACGAGAAAATGGTTTCCGAAATTTTGTTCGCAATAGCTGATGTGTTCTTTTCTGTTGTTGGTCGCGATTTGCTCGAATGGTTCCGCTCTTTGACAGCTCAATTGGTTCCCGAGATTCTATCCGCCAGACTATGAATATAGCGACTATAGGTATAACATGTTGCCTACGCGCCTGCCACTGGGCTGTAGTATACAGATCGAGGCGAAACGAAATTTGAAGCACGCGAAAAATCATGAAATTTCACTAGCGTAAAAGGTTGTGAAAAAATGTTTGTGGAACATTTTCCAGTTTCCTTTTTTCGCAGTTTACAGTTCATGTGAAACGAAATCGATCAGTTTACATCTCCGGTGAAGTGAAAATCTGAGCGATACGCTCTTTCTCAAAACGTCAACTTTTCGCTTAAGCCTAGTATACAGATCGAAGCGAAAAGAAATTTGAAGCACGCGAAAAATCATGAAATTTCACTAGCGTAAAAGGTTGTGAAAAAATGTTTGTGGAACATTTTCCAGTTTCCTTTTTTCGCAGTTTACAGTTCATGTGAAACGAAATCGATCAGTTTACACCTCCGGTGAAGTGAAAATCTGACAGATACGCTCTCCCGAAACGTCAACTTTTCGCTTAGCTGATGCTCTTTTCGCGAGCGCTGCATGCGCGAAAAAAAAAAAAAAAACGTAAGCGAAAAAGCCTAGTATACAGATCGAAGCGAAACGAAATTTGAAGCACGCGAAAAATCATGAAATTTCGCTAGCGAAAAAGGTTGTGAAAAAATGTTTGTGGAACATTTTCCAGTTTCCTTTTTTCGCAGTTTACAGTTCATGCGAAACGAAATCGATCAGTTTACACCTCCGGTGAAGTGAAAATCTGACAAATACGCTCTCTCGAAACGTCAACTTTTCGCTTAGCTGCTGTTCTTTTCGCGAGCGCTGCATGCGCGAAAAAAAATAAACGTAAGCGAAAAAGATGCGATCCACAACATTAGATTTCGCTGGATCGTATCTGTTTACAGTTCAAAGCGAAGCGAAATATTTGCCAATTGCGTTTTTCACGCAGGTGAAAAATGCAGTATTTTGTATGAGATTTTCGCTTCGCTTCGATCTCTATACAGGCCTTTTTTTCACGCAGGTGAAAAATGAAGTACACAGTAAGACGGTAAGACGGCCAGTTCACTTTTACCTACTTTTGACTACACTCAAAAAAATCCACATGTTCCATTCATGTGTTTTCAAATATGAATTTTGCTAATTGCCAGTCACCATGATATCATGTGAATTTCATTCGCATTTCATGGGATCAATGTTCAAAAATCACATGTCCCACCTGTTGGTGAAATCAAAACAAATCACACCATAATTTCGTGTGTTTAGTTATTGAAATTCATGGGATCTTATTTTACTGACAATAATTACTTTTACCAGTAGCGATCAATTTGTCAGCCGGTGTGAAGAAGTTGGTCAGTTCTATATGAAATAGAACTTTATTTTTGGCTTCATTAGATAGATTTTCAGCCCTTTGGCTGGATCATCTTTAAAACAGAAAACTGATCAGGAATGGTAAGTAAATCCTATTTAATAACTGAGTATAACATCAAAAACTGAAAAACTTTATATCTCCATAACTGTCTTTTACAGTATCCTTGGGTTCCTAGGTCCTGGTGGAGTGACGTGATTGGAGAGAGCTGCAGTGTTTTCTTCTTCTTCTTATCTTTTATGAATTAATAATGATTTATAGTGAATTAATAATTAAATGAAATGCAATATTGTTTTGATCGATTATCAAAAATAAGATAAACGAGCCAGATATGTTCGAGAATATGCTTTTGAATGAAGGAAATTTGATGATTATGTGTCAGACTGCTGATAACAAAATGTGAGAAACTTCAAATCCAAGTGTATCACAATTGAACGTGTAGTGTTCGGGAATAATTTATATTATAAGATTCACACATGAAATGGATGTGTTTAGCAATTTGCGCAAATCGAAGTGTGGAACACATAAGGGTAACGTGTGAATTTTTTTAAGTGTAGCTTGTCTCCTTTTCTCCTTCTAATGTTGTCAAAAACGGAGGAGCAAAACCACCCAACAGGGGTAGTAAAGTGTGGGAACCCAACGTTGAGTATAATCATATTTACCTACTGTTGGGTACAACTAACTTACTTTTGGTAAAAAGGCTAGTGGAAAATTCCATACGAATTGTGTGCAGTAAATGAAAATTACTTTGATCCGCTTTACCTACTTTTGGGTTTCTGCACTATAGTGCCAAGATGAAAAGAACTTAATTTTGGGTACTTTTTTCTAACCGTGTATATTGTATGAGATTTTCGCTTCGCTTCGGTCTCTATACATACCTTTAAACGTGAATTAGAATTGCTAACTGTATTTGACTAATGGAGACGCATGGTCATTTGCTCAATGTTGGAACTTTCATCACCATTCTTGGATTAACTAAGCTTTAGTATGGCTTTATATTAACTATTAAATGTAGGAACTGTGATAATGATTTCTCCATTCAGTAAGTGGCTGTCCGTCTCCTGCTAGCCTTGTCAGCAATGATGCGTCATGCCTATATCGGCCAGTGAAGATATTGTTTATTTTTTCACAGAAAACAAAACGTGACGAAACCGTTGCAGAAATCGTCAAACATAAGCAATAATGACACCTAGTAGATTGCCATCGGTTATTTAACTATGGGTCTATCATCTTGTGGTTGTTTAAAAAAATAAAGAGTAAAACGCATATTAATAAATATATTCAAATACATCAAACAAGTTACAATGAAATAAATTTATGTATCGCATACACTTGATATTTATAGACATTGAAGGCACTACCACCGTTGTCACTATTGAAAATAGTATGGATGCTTCCTGTATACCGATACTACAAAATGGAAAATAAATAGCCCGTTGAATAATTTTCCAATGTTCAAACGCTCGAATCCTGCTCACCCATGATGTTTTTTTTTCAACATAGGTCTCCCGACGCATCGTATCCTACGTGTGTAGCAATATTGATACGATTGTCCCAAATTCCCTTATTTACACAATTGGAATCGAAAATCAAATTCTGCGAGTGCAACGCCGGGAGTTTGAAAGCGAATTCCCATGGTATTGCCACAAAATTGCTTACTTCCACTACAGATACATATTGTCTCTTATTGATTTTGTTGCTTTTTGTCTGCTCCTACGCCCCCTCGACTGCTGTAACTGTAACACAACTAAGGCAATCACACTTCGTCGTTCTCGTACAGTTGGCAGAAACAACGTCACACGAGTTTGAAGTGTGTCTTACGGTGGTGGTAGCACTTCCGGTTCGATGTACCGCGCGCGGGTCCGGGGTGGTTGTTGTTGTTGTTTGAAGAGTGCCAATCATGCCCCGCCGATTGCCAGGCTGAGACACATTCCGAATGTGAGTAGTGCCACGATACAGACAAACACAAAGAAACACAAATAGTGTGCACTGATTGGCATGCGAAACAGCTTCGCCGACATGTTCAGCGACGAGGCGTACAGCAGGACCGTGTTCAGATCCTCGGACGAGGTGTTCCGGTGCACGAACGGACGAATGCTGATCAGGTGCCCACAGGTTTGCGTTTGGCGACACGATACAGTCAGTGCCGCTGCCTGGAATGGGAAGAAGGGGATATGTAATATCATGATTATCAGAAACATGATTATATTTTTGTAATTTTTTATATCTATGTTGAAAGCAAAATTCTAATGAACCATAAATATTGTCATTAACTAAAATACATTTTAATTTGTAATATAGGGGAAATGGAGGTAATGTCGGCTTAAATGACCATAATTTGGGCCCATACATAAATTCATCAATCGACTAAATTTTCAATAGAAACCAAAAATATCCTTTAGTACCGTCCCAATGACGCGTTCATCTAGATAAAATTGATAAGTAGCAGATTTTTAGCGATGGGCCCAATCCTAGATCCATAGGCCAACATTAGAGCCATTTCCCCTATGTATTTCTAAATTTATTGTTCATCTCAAATTTATTGTTTTAAAAAACATTTTAACAGGCTACACAGAAAAAAAAGTTGTTGAATATTACATCCAAACTGCTGCAACCAGGTCAATCCATCGGTTGTGTAATATAACGTCGTACGATGTACATCGATTTTGCGAACAAAATTGCATCCATTGATGTAATATTGTATCTGCTTTTTGCTATTACATAATTTTTTCATACATCACCTTGAATTACATTGATCGAAATTACATTTTTTTTTTGCTGTGTAGAACTGTATCTAATTCCTTCCGTGATTTGTAAATCTTCAATACAAGATAAAATCCATTCCGATTTACTTGAAAAAATATATCTTGCAAAAGTTTTCTTGAAAAACGAGTGTATTTTAATAATGAAAACTAATGAAATTGTACTTTAAGTTAAAACTATGCTAATTTTGTGACGGGGTGGTGATCGTTTGTGGGGAGGGGTCGCCTCTTAGGATGTTACTTCCTTCAGCAAAGATGCAAGTGTTAGGTTTAGCTCTTTTTCAGATAATTAATTTCCAATTCAAATCAGAATACATCCCCAATGCACCATGTGGCGTCAGATACGCAGTGCATTGATATGGATGAAACGCATCCCCATACTTGTCATCTTTCGCTTTTGTTAGGTTGCCGCATTTTCACTTTACCAGTTATCCATTCTTACAAAATTGATTTGCGAACGGATCGGCCACCAGTAAGTATCCATACTCATTTTTTTACGTAGGGCTACGTCTGTTATTTTTATATGAGGGTACACTTTGTGAAAACTCAAAATGGAACATGTAACAAAATTATGAAAGATTTTGAACATTAATAATTCGGCTGCCCCTGGACCAATTTCAATAATTTTATCACCAATCGATCAGAAATATGTCACACCAATAGCAACCCCGACTGATGATTTTCAACAAGAAACTATTGAAAAGTGGAAATGTCAAGCATTGTCCAATGTACACATAAAAAGTGATAATTGTATCACTGTTTTCATGAAATAAACGTTCTTCCCAAACCCAGTTGTCATAATCGAGTACCACTTGGTTCCACATCATTCTGCTTTAACCTGAAAAGATATAAAAGAGCGCTGCTGTCTAGCCTCAACTCATGGCTCATTACAAACAGATCATAGCCCCCGCGATCTTCTATGCCGCCCCGGTGTGGGAATCGTGCGCTCAGACCCACAGGAACAAAATCCAGGTTGCACAGAATAGAGTGTTGAGGATGATCCTAGATCGTCCATTCGACACAAGAATAGCAGACCTCCATCAAGAGGCAGAAATTCCCAAAGTAGATTCCAAAATTGATGATATGACAACTAAATTTATTCAAAAATGCAATCTTTCTGAACATGCTTTAATAAGCAATTTGTACATAGTAGGTTAAGTGTATATAGTAGAGTAGGTTAGTTTTAAGCTGTCAATAGTAGTATTAAGTAGTTTCTCTTCAAATTCTAAAAACAAAACAAACCAATCCCACCAAGGTGGTCGACCGTGTACTAAGTCTAGGACTAATTCTGTAAAACAAATTTTGAATTTTGCCCATACCTAAAGATGAAGAAAGCAATTAAATCACTTAGTAAAAATTTATATGGTAATCGTCCAAGTTAAACTAAAATAAAGATCATTTAAACTAAAAACTAGCCTCAACTCATTTTCGCTTCGGACGGCTTGGTGAGCAGGCAGCAGAAGGAGCAATAGCAGCAGTAGGAACAGAAAGGTGGTGGCCTCGCTTAGCTCAGTCGGTAAAGGCGCAGCTACAAAGCAAGACCATGCTGGAGGTGGCTGGGTTCAATTCCCGGGCCGGTCTAGGAATTTTTCGGGTTGGAAAATTTCTTGACTTCCATGGGAATAGAAGTATGATTGGACTTGCCACACAATTATACCAATGCAAAAATGGTACAGGTATCGAAAGCTCTCAATTAATAACTGTGGAAGTGCATCTAGAACACTAAGTTGAGAGCACGCAATAAGCTAATATGCGATATGCAATAAGCTTGAAATGCGAATAAGAAGAAGAAGAAGAAGACGAAGAAGGGAGGTGGTGGCAGGTTAGGTAGTCCACTCTTCTACCTAACAAGCAACAATGACTGGTCGTGGCAAACGAGGAAAAGGTCTTGGTGAAGAAGGTGCCAAGCGTCATCGCAACGTTCTTCGTGATAACCGCCATCCGTCGTCTGGTTCGCCGTGACGATGTCAAACGTATCTCCGGTCTGATCTACGAGGTGTGCTGAGATTCGTGATGCTGTCATCTACACTGAACACGTCAAGCGTAAGCGGTCATGGATGTCATCTAAGCTTTGAAGCGACAGAGATGCACTCTGTACGGTTTCGGAGGTTAAACGGCGCTTTTCAGGGCCAACAAGCTTATTACAGTAAAGAGTTGGAATATAGTTTATCTGTGCCTATTTGTTTATATTCAGAAATACACGCCCCAAATAAACACACAAAATGCTCTCCAGAGTTCTAATCTTGTGAACAAACTTGGAAGCAGGGGTGCAAGTGATTTTGATCGATTCTCTTCATCAACTTTCTCTTTGAAAAAGATTACTTCAAATTTTGTACGCCTACAATTCAAAACCGGAAAGAGTTGTAGTGGTGTAGTGGTAAGCGTGATTACATCTCACCCAGCAAGCCTGGATTCAATCCCAGTCGGCGCCGCCGGGATATTCTGAGGCATAACATCTCTCATCTCGCCTTCCCTCGGAATGGAAGTAAAGCCCTTGATCCCCGCTGCATAAGTTGATGGGTCTATAGGTAGGGTTCAGGTGTCGGAGCTGCCTCCCTGGCGTCGTTAGCATTGGTACTCAGCACGGAAATCAAGATCGACGGAAAACAAATCAGGCGTGAGCAGAGATGTTATGCCTCAGAACATCGTGGCGGCGCCGACTGGGGTGATAAACAACAACCTTACAACGAATAATTTTCTCGAATAGCGCGCGTACAATAGCTAGTGTGCACTAGAGTCTGTGTATAATGAGTCACGCCAAGAGAAAAAAAAACAGTTGAACTCGCATCACGGTTTTCGAAAGATTCCCTTTCTTTTCAATTGGCAACAGAGGACTTCTATTTACATCAACTTCAAATGACTTCTAGCGAGAAAAAAATAGTGGCTGTAGTGAATCATTATATCAGTGATTTCATCAAAAAATAGTAGAAATTCTCATTACTGATCATTACCAAACGTATCCCATGACAATTTATTGCTCACTGCGTGTTTATGATCATTTCTTCAGTTATATTTTATACACACTTAGGCTGTGAACCATTTGCCAAGTTAAATTTAACTCGTGGTTAAAAGTGACATTTCGAAAGTTATTTTCTATGTTCGAAAATCCCCGTGCTGTCGATCGACCGGTTTTCGAGCCAAGGTTGTCAAAATTTAACTTCTTGTCTGTCAGAAATAACCATGCTCGGATAGCAGGGTTAATCGATAACTTTTCATCTGTCAAATTTTAACCAAAAGTTAAAATAATCCACCAAATGGTTCAGAGCCTTAGAAAATATTACCGAACTCGGTTTGATGTCAACCGAGTTTTTATCTGCTGAACGCTCGGTAGGCTGTTCGGTTCAAAGAGGAATAACCGAGCTGTCGTTAGTTCTTTTTGTTACCCACAATCTGCCAAAGTTACCGAAAATCTCGGTTGACGAAAAATAAATTTAAGCAGAAATAACCGAACATCGGTTTACTCAAGAATTACCGAACGCTGTCAAACGAACCAACCCATCTGTTGTAATTACGGAATTCGGTTCATTTTGGCAGTTCGGTTTTTACTTCAAATTCTTCTTTAAATTTTGATTAAGTATACGTTGCTTCGACTTTTCATAAAAATAAAACCAGTTTTGTCAAAGAAATGTATGAAATATATTTATATGATTTGTTTTGGGATGAAAATTCACAGTTACTTCCTAAAGGTACTTTGATACGTGCCGTACAATTTCGTCACAAAGCTTAATAAAATCATTGATTTTTGTGTAAGGTAAACCTACATCATACGTAATGCGGCAGATGCTAATATTTATTATTTATATTAACTCTTCCAAATCTATACTTGATTCGAATTTAGGACTGTTCTGTAAATCAGCATATGTTGCTTGTTCTGCCACAGGACAATCATCAAAAATTTCTTCCACGGTAGAAATTCGAGAGTTTTCCGGATGCTTGTCCACGATATGCCGTTTCAGCGAATAAAAACTTCCTTCCGTAACGCGAGTTACAGCGTGGAAAAGTACAGTCAAAACGAGCACTCGCGAGAAAAAATGGCTGACTAGTTTTAGACTCAGCTTCGAGAACCGAGTTTTCGGTTAAAATTTCCGTCGTGAAGTTGAGCGCAAGTAGAACGTTTGACGTTTAACACGTTTTAGCGAATATTCGGTTCAGTTTACCGAGTTTCTCAGTTTTCACGTACCTAATTAGTAAATGTCGATACTTTACCGTACTTTTCGGTTCAGTCTTCATTTCTACCTGTCAAATTTATACTATTTTACTGAAATTCAGGTCTGATTCGATAAATACGCCTGACAAAAAAAATGTTTTTAAACAATTTATTCGGTTTCTCGTTGGTAACCGAAGAGGTTCGGTAGAAAATTAAACCGAGTTCGGTGTTATTTTCTAAGTGT